GTAGAGACGAAAAAAGTGATTGTAACATAGGTAAAAATTCTTGTCTAAAAAGTATTTTATTTGTCATCTGAAAAAATTTTCTTACTACTGCCTGTTAATTAGTTTCAGGAAAGAGAATAACAAAAAGAAAAAAACCAATCTTCTTATTTGATTGAAATTAAACAAACAGTAAGGAAGAGCCGAAATACAATAAAACTTGAAAAGTAGGGTATTTGGTGGATGGGATGTGTCATTAACGTATTCATCAAGATCGGAATATGATCAGATCATAGCAATCTTTTTATTTATTAATTTTTTTATTTGAAGTTTCTAGATTGCATGCGAAGTTTTATGAAGAATTGATTTGTTTTTCGCCAATTCTTGCAGAGAGGGTTTTCAATGAAACGACGTCCGGCATTTTCCAGCGGTGTGGCTCGAAATTATGCATTTTCCTCCGGTTGCAGTGGGATAACGAATTCTCCCGGTAATCGTTCCATTTATGACTAATTAGCTGTATTTGATTAAAATTGTTTGAGTTAAAACGTTTCAATCACGTTGATTCTTCGAATTTTTTTTTACTGTAAGCAAAGTTATTGAAATATAGTGAAGGTATCTTGAAAATTCTTGAGTAACTTGATGGGAAATAGATGTATATGATTACTTCTTTGTGGTTAATTCATAGACTGCGAGAACATTGAAATAATTTCAGGATGCTCAGCTGCCTTTGGCAAAGGTAATGTACGTACACCAGGTCTTGGAGGACGATCACCACAGTCCTCATTAGATTCAAGTGATGTTGGACAGGTTAGATATTATGGAATTTAATTTTTCGAAATTTTCTCTTGTCATTTTTTTCATCAAACCAGAGATTATTTTAGAAAGGTTTAGCAAAGGTTAGTTTGATAATTCCTGTTTTAATCCCTTGAAGTGAAGTTCGCCGAAACCAAGAAAACATCGCCCGCAGATCCAAATTTGTTTAAGACAAAAAGTTCATAAAAGAGAGATGGATACAAGTTCAATGCATTAGTGTTATCCTTAAACTCATTATAATCGTTTAAATTGCTTTTTTTTCTCCAAAAATTCATCATTTTTAAACACAAGGTAGGAACTCACTCTTTAATTTTAATTTTCAGTTATTCTTGCTTTTAATGGCCCAATTTCTTTTACGGTATTTATACCAATCATGTCAAGTCATGCTTAAGTTAAACAGTGTCAAGTTATAGATTTCGATGAATTTGATGCGCGTTAATGGAGCGATTGCACCTTTCAAAGCTTTGCTAACAAGCCTAACAAGTGCGCCTGATCCATTATCACCTACTACACCAATAAAATCTGGAAGAAGTGCTTCCTCGCAGTATCTTTCCAGTAGTATTAGTCCAAAGAAACTTCATAAAATTGGCTCACATTATGTACTGGAAAATGTCAACCGGAAAGAAAGCAGCACAACTCGATTATTCGATGCGCCAACAACCAACGCTGAAAGTTAATTTTTCTTTTCTTTTCTTTTTTCACTTTTGATATCTGCAAATAAATAATTCATTAAATATTGTAAAAGACATTTGATCTTCGACCTGATTACTAGTTGTAGTAATTAGAGTACCTACAAAAATACACTTTTCCTTCTACTGCACCATTTATTTTTATTATTGAATTCCAATATTCTTAAAATTCAACCTCATATAATTATTTGTTTTGCTGAAGTTTTTTTTCTATCCATGTTGTTGGTTTTAACCTTTAGAGGACTTATCAATTCATCCAATTAAAGGACTTTTTAAAGTGTAGCTTCCCATCTGCTACCAGTGCCTTATCATTTAAATTCCGATTTGAAATCTCAATCGCGGCTTTTTGCATAATTGATCGGGAATAATTAAATAACTCTTGCATTCTTTTCGTGTCTATTTCACTCAACCCTTGAGAAAATCCAATTTGCTGTTGAACTGAAATTACAAAATGATTCATTTTCAATTCCTTCTACCAATTTATATAAGAAAATGAAACTTATACATTTTGATAAAATTGCTGAGAAGCAAATCATCAACGTCCACAAGGATTATTATATTATAGGATTATTATATTTAAACATTCTCAGGATGCTATACTTCGAGCTACACTTTTACATCCTGAAGATGATCTATTTTGAAGGAAAGTTACATACTTCGAAGAGTATTGTTAAATTCATATGAAAATCGGAACAGGAAGATTACTGTGAACATATGTTCTTGTTTTAGTCGATTGGAAAACGCCTTTTGGAATTTTAGAGATACTATTTAAACTTGACATCTTTCTGCATGCATATAACTCGGATGCTTAAGGAAGGAAAGAAAAAATGTGCATTCATGTGTGTTTGTTCTCGAAGGATGAACAAATTGCATGCAATGCATGCATGGATGCAATTTTGTCATTAAGCATAATGTAAATTATAGGATATTTTATATCTACGATTTTACAATGCTCAGTTAAACCTTTCAGAGTATATCAATGTTATTACATTTCTTCCAAGTTATTTCACAAAAAAAAAACACGCAAATTGTATTGGTTGGATCACTGAAGCACAAATGGGACAAAAGTCACCGGATAACATGAACTACTGTAGGCTTAAATTTGATCAATCATCTCTGAATCTTCCCAATCATTTTTTTTGATTTACCAAAAGGTGAGAAAATTTCTATGAACGATTCTCCTCCCATTTTTGACCATATTTTACAAATCATTCTTTTGTAACCAATGCAACTAATCTCTCCATAGACTTCCTTCTTTTCTATTTTTTCTTATAAAGTTTGTAAAAAATGGAAAAAATTGTATGATTGACCTATTTTGCATATGTATATTCAAATCAGATTCTAAGCAAACTGTTCCTTTTTTTTTCCTTTTATAAATTTCTTTCGGCATGCAAATTTGTTATCTCATGTTCATCCACATGTATGCGTTGTCAGAATTGTCAAAAATATAATTTCAAAGAGCAAACATTAATTTATACTAAACAAAGATAGTGAAGTTGAGAAATTAAATAAAAGAAAACTTATTGCCTAGAAGTGGAAGTGTCCTATTGTCAATTACCTTAGCAGGTAATAGTGACAGTGGAGGGAGAGTAAGAAAGAAGTGATTTCCGACCTGCATGAAATATATAAACTAGATCCTTTCTTCTATTATTTTTTTCTTTTTGAAGATTGAAATTATTGATACTTTTTTGCTGCCTAACAAAAATAAGCAAAGTTGAAGAGTCTTTTAAGACCTAAGGAAATTTATCACCCAAAACCTTCGTAGTTTCCACAGAAATAAAGAAGAAAGTAGGGACGACTGCGAAGTTGGAATTTGGAAATTATTTGTTCGCATATTACAACTTTTTCAGTATGAAGTAGTTTCCTCCAACCAAGTATTTCCACGTATATTTAGATTTAATATTAATATGGTTGAAGAGATGAAAAGATGGGTAGGTTTACCTCTTTACTGAGATATAGTTAGTTACTTGATGTTGTAAGCATCAAGAAGTGATGAAAATGAAATTTTCATCCTTCACTTTTTTTACGACATTTTTTTATACACATTTAAATTAGTGTAAAATTTAACTTTTTGTCATTTCCATCTTCAAGCTAGAGTTTTCAAATGACTTGAAAAATTGTTGTAAATTCAACCACCCATAACGTCGTCGTGAAAAGTCACGTTTTCAAAATTTTTTGAATTTACAAATATTTTGATTTTGTATATTTTGATTTCATTTTTTCTTCGCAAAAAAAATGAATGATAGGCGCACTTGATCCACTGTTCATCTATTGTTATTAGCAATTCAGGCTAAATTATTTGGGTGTTCCCATCCGGAAATCACATTTCTGCATTTCACAACTGATGTTTTTATCTAAAAAGTTGATGTAATAGTGGTTTCGAAAATCTTAATTAATGATTGATCCGCTTGACTTTCTCAAAAAATTGGTCAGAATGGAATTGAGCAAGAAGTTGAGTATATTTTGTGAAGAAAAAATGATAAAAAAGTTGGAAAAGAGGCGAAAATGGAATTTGAATGGTATCAATTACAATATAACATTTCCATTAGGATAGCAAAATCCCTTTAAAAGCATACTGAAAAAAAGGAACATTAATCTGTTCCCGAAGTTTTTCCTCTTTTGCAGTAAACCTTACAACAAGTCCCTTTAACATTTTCATGCTTATTTTTTAGCAATAAAATTTTACTTTTTTAACTCATCTACCATCTCTCGTGCAAAATTTCATTACAGACAATTAGAAAACTTCTGTTTTCCCATTACTTGTTCTTGACAACCACTATAGCCATATTCATAAATAGCATAGCTTTAGTTTTTACGAAAAGCAGCAACAAAATTTCATTCAAAGTTTTTCTTAAGTTAATTTATTCTTAATAAAAAAAAGAATTGTTTCCCAATTCATGCTAATGGATATTATGTTAAGTCGTGATAAATAATGTAAAAAATCCCACCAAGCATTTCTCAATGATGTGAAACATTGATGCTTTATAATATCGATCGGTTTTCGATTCTGAATCTTCAATTATTGCGTGCTTCAAAAAGTTCCAATGAATCTCGTATAATACGCCTAGTGCCACACAAAGGCATTTTTGAACGGATTATCTTGAATGGGAAAGTCATCCCATCCAGTTTATTTTGCAGTATATGTCGTCTCTTACTATTTCTTATTAGCTAATTAAAATTCATTCATTTCGATTTTCCATATTTCCATTTTTTCTAAAAAATCAATCAATGTAAAGTACAGTTCAGCCTGGTCTTCCTTTTTTCATTTAGGATGAAATTTTCTTATTATTTTTTTTGTCTACTTAATTTTATCGAGTAAACGAAGAGAACTGTTGAAGAACAATTGATAAAAGTGGTTCACGAAAAGCCGAAGAAAGTCTGGGTTTTCCAGGTTCATTGATTTCTTTGAAATTGGAAGTTGATGGGTATAGTCTGGGTTTTCCAGGTTCATTGATTTCTTTGAAATTGGAAGTTAATGGGTATAGTCTGGGTTTTCCAGGTTCATTGATTTCTTTGAAATTGGAAGTTGATGGGTATAGTCTGGGTTTTCCAGGTTCATTGATTTCTTTGAAATTGGAAGTTGATGGGTATAGTATCATCCAATATGATTGGATTATCCTCAATTATAGCTTAAATTTGATGAACAAATTCAAAAGTTAACGCTCGTCGAGAGCAAAAACGCACTTCTTTTGGTTGTAATGAGTATTTTAGAATTCCATTAAAATTCTATTCTATTTAAGAAAACGAAAATTCTATTTTTTTTCAATTTAAATTTTTTTTGAAATTTTGGCGTGGCATTGAAAAGCATTAATTGGCCCATTGTTTATCATAACTGTCAAAACAAAGCATTTTTTCTGCTGGCGTGATGTTATTCTATTACAGTGCAAATTTGAACCTTTCTTGAGAACATTTTCCTCCACAAAAAATGCTTAGTCACCACAGAAAGGGTCATGAGGATGACACCTTTTCCTGTCAAACTTCACTACCGTCATCTCCCTTGATTCGAGGAGTGCTGTAATATAAGCGATGAATGATCAAGAAAAATCGAATAGTTCCTCTGTTTCGTGATATCTAAGAAACTTAGCTCCATCTTTGAGGTGTCTTTGACTTCGATAACAAAATTTTGAAATCAGAGATTAGCAATGGCCAGATATAAAATATTTCGGAAATTGCTAGCAAATTGTTGAATGCCATTCGTGGATCACGAAGGAAAATATATTTTCCAGTGGATAACAACCATGACAACTACTTGTGGTGCAATTCTGGAATGAAATGATTCTAAAGAAGGCGATTGATCCGTTGAAATATCCCCGTAAGTTTAAAAATGTGTTCAGTTCGAAGCAATAGACCAAAATATTCTTCGAAATTTAAAATTTTATTGAGTTTATTCCGGAATGCAAATTGAAAAAGAAAAGAAGGAACTTATTCGTCCCAAAGAATCGGTACTTACTAAGTTCATCGATATGGCATTTTCGGAAAGTTCAAACTTTGAGAAAGATCCATATTTTGCATGCTATATTGTGTGAGTGCAATTTATATTTGGCCATATTTAATTAAATTTGATGATAAAACTAAGGGTGCAGCTTTAATTGTGCATAGGATTATTTTTAACCGAGAAAACGCTATTAAATTCGCCTTCGTGCTATCGTAAGTTCGAAATGACATAGTGATCGCTTCCGATTCGATTTCGACACCTATCAGTTTTATCACATCGTTAGTGGGAGCAATGAACTATCTTCCGGAAAAGCTCATTTTACACTATAAATTAATAAAATTGATCAGATCTCATGAACCTATGGTATGAAACGAATATGCTTGAAATATTAATTGTCAAAAATTTGGTTTGCATAAATTTTGCTAATTGCTAATTGCAAAGTCTTTTATGATTATTATAATTAATATGGGATAAGATTGGAGAAAGAACGAAGGAAGTATTTGTGCTTTAAATCTTTTTATATTTGACACACAGTTAAAAAAAGCTATGAAAGCTAAGTTTTTCATACTTATTTATAAATGTATATTACCTTGAAATTTTAATTCAAATACAATGAACTGAAGCGGGACTCTTTGGAGAAGATGAGAAGCTGTACACTGATAACTGATAATTTTCAGAAAAGCTTAACTATTCTCTTTTTTATACCTTTTAAGCACATTAATAACTTTCATACAAAGTTGGATCATTTTTTTCTGGTCTTGACTTATTCTAATTAATTGGAAATTCGGTTTTTAAACCGATTTTGATATTCTGTTTTGGTATTCGTTTTATTCATATTTTTAAACAAATAAGATCAGACAGTAAAGTATGGATAAATAAATTTAAATATAGTATTGAAACCATTTCTTTAGGAGAACAAGACTCGAAGAAATCGTTATCGCTTTTGCTTAGCGAAGATTTGGAAGGCCAACGAACAGCAAACGATGATTCGGAAAGTCCACTAATGAGGAAAAAAGAAACGAGGTATTTTTCCAAATATTTGTAATCTTTTTGAAATCGAATCAGAACTGAATAAATTGATATTAATATTAAATGAGCTTATTATTACGGAAAATGAATTGTTAAATGTACAAATTTATTCTTCTAATCAGAATTATTTCATATTAATGTTTTTCATTAACATAACGGTTATCATAGGTCATCGTTAAAACAATAATTAAGAAAAAATTGCTTTCATTCCAGTAGTGGTCGACTAATTAGACGTCAATTATTGTTTCACGTACGACGGGTTACCAGCGATTGTGCTTTGTTTTTTGCAGCAATTGGAATTGGTGCGCTTACTTGGTTTTTATGTGTCTTTGGGATTTAAAAGATTTAAAAATTTATTTTAATCAAATTTCAGGCTTAATGATTGTCGACAGTGAAATGAATGCAGCTAAAATTTATCAAAAAGTAAATTTTGATTTTACCACTTCAATGTTTCAAAACTGTTTGATGTGATGAATTTATTGCAATTTTTGGAATGCTGTGAAAACAGTTTGTCTGTTCGAAGTTTTAATTTGTTAAATTTTTTCACTCCAAATTTATTTCCATTTCAGGGATCATATACAAGTACGATTTTGAAAAGTTTAATATTGCTAAGTACAATTGTTTTGGTGGCACTTGTTATCAAATTTCATGTACATGAAGTACAGGTAAGTTTTGTTACCTGGTTAGATAAGAAGCCGAGTGGAATGTCATAAATTAAACATCCGTAATCTCAGAAAGGCATCAATGTATTATTTTCTCCCGATATGTCACGAAATAAGCGTTTTATTTTGAGATTTTTTCCCTCGAAACATCTGTATCTGTCCTGCATATTTTAAATAATTAAAATTATTCATTTGAGACGCTTCTGTTGTTAATGTTCATAACAACAATGTAACTGAGAGAAATCACTCAAAATCATTTTGCAGTCACATCTGCGCTTCGAAATTTCATCCTATTTTACAGTTATTTATGAATGCAAACAACGCAGAAGATTGGCGAATAGCCCTTACATGGCAACGCAGTTTACAAATTGCACTTGAAGTAATGGTGTGCGCAATTTGTCCACTTCCTATTGATATCAATTTTTACTGGACAACATTAAGTGGGGAGACGGTAGGTGTCTTGTTGAACAAACAGTATGAGTTAAATTGATTTATCTTTACTTAGAGATACTATAATTCAAATGGTTTCTGTATTGGAAATGGTAGCTATGATTTCTGTTCAGAAGTTTGTTTATGGTATCATTTAACGCTTAATAAGACAGCTTTGCTTGGAAGAACGGGAGGAAACATATCTGATTTTTAAATATTACAATTTAAGCATATTATAACCTCTGCTTTAAAGAGGCTTGTATTCTTTGCATCTCACAAAACTGATCAGAATTAAGGGATAAAGTTGGGAAGATTTTGCATATTGCTTCTCTCATCTAACAAATTAAATTTCAGATGAAAACAACAGAGTTACCACTTGATGTTCTCTTATCAATTCCAATGTTTTTTCGATTATATTGGTTGTGTCGTGTCATGCTGTTACATAGCCGGTGCAATTTTTAATTATTATTTCACAATTTTTAACTAACTTTAAGCACAGTTTTAAAGGCTAATTTCTGATGTTTAAAAATGAAAAAAATTATTATAAATGCATATATGATTAAAATTTAAATACACGAATAAATGGTAATCGATTAAAAAATAAATAACCAAATTTCAGCGTTTTTTATTCTTAGATTGTTCACCGATGCATCCTCAAGGAGCATTGCTGGTCTTAATAGAGTTAATTTTAACGCACGGTTTATTTTGAAGACCCTAATGACATTATGTCCCGGTACATTCATTCAAATGTTTTTTTTCTTCCATATTAAAAATTTGATAGAAAAGACGGTTTGACGGAAAGTGATTGAACATTGAGAACACTGATTTCTGTTCTTGCCAAATACTTTTTATTGTTGAGTTACTGTCTGTCTACTGTTTTACTGTAATCCATGATCAATTCCTTAAAGGTACTGTACTTATGATATTCACCGCATCTTTGTGGGTAATTGCCGGATGGATTCTGAGGTTGTGTGAAAGGTTTGCTCTTTTTATGGTTAAATTTCAATATGAAACAAATATTTTCTTCTCTCTCTTTGTCTGTTTATCCTTTCCATAAAAATCTTTCGTTGTCTGAATGTTTCACTTCTTCAACCGAGATTAACTTCTATTCTCTAATTAGAGAATAGATCTCCAATTAGGATATTAGGTGGAAGCAAGCTTTATTGTGATATATTTTGCATAATAATTTTGAATTATTTGTTTGTTCCGCTAAGAATTTGAAACAGTTAACACAATGGAATTTGTTTGAAATATCGTTAAAAGGATGAAATTTCGAAGTCGAATTCAATTTGGCAGAATTTTTTTAGGCATCATGTCACTGATTCGATTAACATTCATGCGCAGAAGCACCAAGACTATCTTAATTCTTTGTGGCTAATTGCAATAACTTTTCTTTCCGTTGGTTACGGTAAGTTTGCACCAATCGGATTACAATAATAATGGTGCTGTGGTTGTGTTATGATTATGATCATTATGAAATGAAGGATAAATACTATGTCCTTGACATGGCTGCGTAACAAAACGCTCTCAAATTTTTAAAAATTTGCAGGTGACATTGTACCAAATACATATTGCGGGCGTGCGATGGCCGTTATTACTGGTATTTTGGTATGTCCCAATTTTTTTTTCTTTTTGCATGAATATAAATGATTTGTTTCTGGCTGAATAAAAACAAGAAAGCTTTGGACAATGTTAATCTGTTGATTGTTTTCTGAAATTGAAAACATCCTTTTCTTCTTGGTTTCAACTCAAATTGATCTGCGAATGAATTCCGATTTAAGACTTTACACAAGATTAAAGTGGGGGAATCACTTATACAGGGTACGTGCACATCATCAATGGTGGTGGCGGTAATAGCTCGAAAACTTGAATTAACTCGTGCCGAAAAGCATGTGCATAATTTCATGATGGACACTCAACTTACCAAACAAGTAATCGATTCTCTTTACCATCCTATTTTTTTTTTTTTTCGAAAAAACTTTTCAGTTACGACGGGTCTAATCGATATTTCTAACTTCAAGCGGTGTATAGCTTGCTAAAGATTTCTTCTGCATTCTCGTTAATATAATACCAATCTTTAGAATTTTAGTTGAAACATACGGCAGCAAACGTGTTACGTGAAACGTGGCTAATTTATAAACATCGATGTCTGGCGGATAGAATTGAACCAGCGAAAATTCGTATGCATCAGCGCAAATTTCTAGTTGCCATTTATGCGTCAGCCATTTATAATTTCATTTCCCCTATTTCTTTTGAATTTAGAGGTTTTTTTTTGAGAAAATCTAGGAATTGTTGACGAAGCAATCGGAAATTTGATTTAAATTTCAGATTACGAAAAGTGAAACGGGATCAAAGAAAGTTGGCTGAAAATTCGGTTTCTCTAGGTGATGTCGCAAAGGTTTGCGTTGATTATTATTATTCAGACGTATTACTGATTTATTCAGGCTTATTGCTTTTATTGATTTAAATAAAAGTAAACGGTTTAAATCTACAACTTATAATCATAAATTCTAAGCTGCACCTGCAACTTGAAATTACTTCTTTAAATAGAACACACTGATTTTGTTTAAACAAACTGGTTCTTTGGAAAAGTTTATGCAGCTGAAGTTATATATATTAATTCCGCATATTTCAGACTACATCAAGTACATATGAACTGGTGCACGATGTTCAGAGTAATCAAGAAGGGTTATCGCTAAGAATGACCGCTATGGAGTATCAACTGGCCGATATTAATCGTGAATTAAGCGCATTGGTCGAGTTTTTGCGACCAAACCGGATTTTGAGAAATGCTAGCCTCGCAACAGCAGGAATTATTGCTTCACATGATAATGGTGTGAGGAGGAGATGTAATGCAATGGAAAGTTGAAAATTCATCTGATATTGAAGGAAGTGAGATCATTACCGCTTTCAGGACTATTAGCGCTCTCATGACTTTGTTTATATATATTTGTGGAGACTAAAAAAATTTTCGTTTTGTTCTTGACTAATTTTTTACCTTATAATTATAAGTTCCTGGAGAAAATGTTGGATGCGAATAAAAGTTAATGCCGAAGGAATAAGACTGATGAAATCATATTGAGTTAAACAAATGCATCTTTAGAATCAGTCTCATTTTTCCTATCATTACGAATGAGCAACAACTACATACTTTGGTTATGAAAATTTTTGAACTCAATGGTGACGACTATCGTAATATTAAAGTTTGAAATTGAACAGTAGAACAACTTTCGACATAGAAAAAGAATCAATAATTTTTTAAGACATTCAAAAGATCATTCTTATCCTTCATGAAATTTGTGTACATTAGTGTTTTGCTGGTTATACTTTATCTCATATAATGAACTACGTTTTCTGAAATTGGCTGATTGCTAAAATAATGTGGGCAATGATTTTATCTATAATTTTTCATATGTCAAAAACATTTGACCACTATGCACATAGGAAACATGCCAGAAACACAGAACAGGCCAAGAAGAAATCAATTGCTGATAACTGCATTTGAGTTTAGTTGCCTTACATATTAGAGAAGAGTGTTGAAATTATTTGTCTACAGATAAACTGCTCGAGCAATCTTTTTTTTTTCAATTTCAAGATTTGATTTTTAATCACATTGCAACAGATGCCTCAATAGTATGCGGAAGATTGGAAAGCCTATGATCTTTCAACGTTATTAGGTGAAGATTTCGGAAGACCCTATGATACGGTATTTATTAACTGATAATCTTTGATTCTGACCCATAATAAATTTTATCATGTCTGGGAAAAAGCTATTTTCATCTTCAGAAAACATTTTATATATTACATCTTCAGAATCATTATAAATTAACTCATTTTTTTACTGAACGTTCAATTTTGATCACAGCTCTGATGAAAAGTGATATCTTCGGGTTGTTCTCTTCCTCCTTTCAATTAATAATAACAAAGTTTGAGAACTTCTGCATCTCATTACTCATTATACTGTGCTATGATAAAAACTGCAATATTTTTTCCTGAAATCGATAGAGAACTGGAATGAATAAAGAACGAATATTTCTTATTTGAAATAAATAATCATACATGTTATGCAGAATTTTACCATTAAATTAAAATGGCAGTGATACATAAACTCAGACTTAGATAATTGAAATTATTGAGAGAGAAATCCACTTGAAAGAAAGAAGCTTAGAAATTTAATATTATGATAAAAGGGAAGAAGCGATGCATCAAGTAACTGCACATAATTAAGAGCGTGAATAAGAAATGTCCCATTGTTAATCACATATTTCTGATTTCAATATCCTTCCTCTCCATCAAAAGGAAGAGAGAGAGAAAGCTTTCCCTTCATAACTGCTTGCCTTTAAAATTTTCACATTTTCATATGCAAAATAGCAAACGCTAACTGCACTTTGAGAAGTTTCATTTAGTTTTCAGATTTGAAGTATTGTATATATCCTTTGCTTTTTTTTTGGTTTACATCCCTGCGAATAAAAATGGGAAGGAGGTGGATTTTAATATTTTCAAAATGACATTCTGAACTTTCATGGAAAATGTACACTCTGGATTCCGTTCTATTGACATTGCACTTCCATTGGGTATAGGAAAGAAGCACTCCTGTCTGAATTAAAATCGCTATTCCAATTCTGTTCTATCGAATTTATTAAATGCACTTGGCAGGACAAGAAACCATAAATGCAAGGCCTTTCTTCGTTTAGGATTACTGTTCCATATTTGCACCGATTTAGATGCCTTCTTTCTATTTTACCAGAATTTAAGGATTATTAGCAATATTCGCCAGCTCTTCTCACTTCTTTACTAAGCATTTTTCTAAGAAAAAGGTCTGATCACCATGTTTAATCATCTAACTTCAATGACCTTTCTGGAATGCTACAACTTTTATTCAATTCAGATTCCTTTCCTACGTTTCGGTAATGCTTATATCTTTTTTTTTTTTTTTTTTTGTTAGGATCGGTTACATTCCTACAAATATGGTGAATACATTACCAACAGATGTTTACAATCACAAGCCATGCAACATTGAAATTAAGCAACAAATAGAGCTATTATCGTATCCGCCAGCTATCATCCTATCCATTCCATCCAGCTCCATTCATTTAGCTTGTGTTCTCAAGACGTGTATTCTTCGAGTAGCTATGGCTTTAATCCATTTGTTTCAATTTTTCAACCTTCTACTTCTCTTTTAAGATATCGCCTTCTCATGTCACTACTGTTTATGCAAGGTAAACTTTAGAGAATGTGTAGAAGGCGATATCTGTTGGCATGCTTCATTAGAGAAAAAGACACAGAAGCCTAATGAATAGCAACAAATGCTTTTAAATTAAAAGTTTAGACAATGCTGAATACGACAATTATCAAAATTGTTACCTTCTGCATAGAAGTAGAAATGATTATACGGTAATTGTAATGATAACGGTAACCGTGTGTTTTATACTGCCATTTAGGAATTCATCTCACAAATAGTCACATCGTATATCTTTATCGATTGGATGTTAAGAAAGATAAAATGTAAGGAAGAAAAGTTGCAAAAGACCGAACTAGTTGATGAAAATATTTTCAGTATCACTAATTTCATCTTTTTCTTTTAATTTCCCACACCTCTTGAATTACTGCCACAGTCAACTAGAAAGCTCTTATTAAACTTTTTTCTAAAGTTTATCTTATTGATTTTTAATAGCCAACTTGAAATCCACATGTTCTTGAATCTCAAGATTGCCTCTCACTAATAATATATATTATACACTTTATATATGTATATGTATATCCATGTATGTATATGGGTAAGTAAATGCTTATGTATAGATTTTTGCTATTCCAGAATTTTCGAAAGGAGTTCACTTTCTTTTTCAAATGAGGATGACTAATGTTGTTTACGAAGTTAAATGGCGCACATTAATACCTATGCCATTTCTCATACTGTTTTCTTTGGCTGTTAAAAGCATTTATGCTTTATTGCTTGTCTTCTAAAAAATTGTCAAAGTAAATAAAAAAGTAGATCAGGTCAAGATTTCTTTTACTTGAAAAAGTTTTTTAATCAAAATATTTCTATTTCGCAGGTTTGAAATAGATGAAAAATATTTAGAGAGCTGGAAAATCATTGTCGGGTACGGTACGCTTGTACTCTCATTGGGATCTATGCCTAAAGAAGCTTTTGTTTTTCTCAAAACAATTCATTTTCTACTTGGCAATAATGTTCCCTTCCAATACTTTTTTCACTTCTGAATGCTTCGTTCTTAAGTTAAACTTATCTTTTAATTTTTATTCCTTCACCTATTTTCGCTGCTTATAGTTGTAATTCTCTAGAGCACTTCGAACTGAGGTATTAATTAAGAAATATTTGAATTTATTTCAAAAAGTTCCAATTGTTTCAATAAGTTTTCCGGAATAGTCTGTGATATTTAACGGAATCACTCAGTGAATTTCAGATTCCTCGATGTGCTTTCATGTATCGTCATGTAATCTGTCCTCTCTCTTCCTCTCTCTCTCTTTCTCCCTCTCTCTTCTAAGTTCTTTCAAATTACTGATTGAAATTTTTCGCTTTCATTATTTTTGCTCTAAGACAGCACAGATCTGTAGGAATAAAAATTCATTAGTTTAGGGACTAACAGATATTATCAGCCTCATTCTAAAACATCTGCCGGCAGCGCAGTAGTGACAACTACAATTCAGGAAAAGCCTTTTCAATAAAAAATGAGACAAAAGATTTTATGGCTTGTTGTTTGTGAGGCGAAATGAGGTAATAACGAGATTAGTGGGAAGCATTATATTGATATAGGCTTTGTCAAGAAACGAGTTAATCAATAGACCAAAGCCGCCACATACTGTTTCAGTCATATGGAAGCTTGTTGGCTTTATGAGCTCTCTTACGAGAACGGCTTTTATTTTTATCCGTCAATTAGGTTATATTTAATTAGCCTACACAATAATGCCTAAAAGACATATCTTTCTAGTGTTGATACATTTAGAAAAAAAGGGCTAAAAAGGCTTTTAAAGATAAATATTTTTCGATAAATATTTTTCTTCAAAACTTCAAGTTCCACAAGATGTTGAATTTTTAGACAGCATTAATGGATTACTGGTCTGATTACACCACTAATTTTTTAATTTTACATTCTTTTTCATTTGCAAGCCAATTTTTCGATGTTTCAATTTGTATCACATAACCGCAAATGTTCAAGAGCAGCATAGAAGACATGTAATTCATTTTATTAATTCAAAAAACAGGTTTTCACAAATCCATTGAACTATGAAAAGGTTTAAACAGAAAAATTTATAACTACAATCGAATTTATGTAAAAATTGTGAAGTAAAAGTGCATTCCTGCAAAAACTGTTTGCATAAGTAACATTAAAAAGTTGGCACGCTCAGCCAATAATACATACTACAAACTGAAAACCTCAAGCTGCACGTTATTTCAGGTTCGTATTCGTAATAACGTTGATTTTTTTGAAACTTGTGGCTAATAGCAAGACAACAGGTCATCTGCATTGGACAAAAATGGATCATAGGATCTACTGCTGCATAATTAACTCGTCGCATTCATTTGGGAAACGGAAGTTTCAGTTGTGATTGAATTTTGTTAGGATAAAATAAAGCTGCTGGAATTTAATTTTTGTGCCATGTAGAATGGGCCTAATCAGGCTTCTTGGGACACATGGGATGGTCTAATCAGACTCCTTGAGACACGTGGGATTTTTTTTTGAGACTTTTTGAGATATTTAGGATGTCTAGTGGGAGCAGTTTCTTTCTTACTATCATTTTCGTTGTTTTGTTGAATATTTTCACATATTGAAACAAGTTAAGAATAAATTTTAGATCAGTATACAGCTAGAAATGTCGAAATTTATTAACACCGATCTTTCTGTAGCCGTTTCATCGTCATAGTTTTATTTCTAGCAGAATGAACAACAGTTTGATTTCTCTTTCATGAATTATTATTTTCAAATCTTTGTTTGGACGTTACTATGAAGTAAATTTATGAATGAAATCCCCTAATTAATATATGATTTGGACATTAGTCTAATTTAGTAAAGATTGAGCTGTTACGATTTGTTAGTGATCTATGACATGGATTAATGATTTTTGTTAGGAAGTGCTGAGGGAAGGGGATAGCAACGAGATATGTTGGCACTATTTTAAAGTGCTTAGAAGAGAAAGTTTTCAAAGAAAACATTTTTCTTGCATTGTAATTGATTGCATGGGAAGATATTTGGAGTAGAGCATTTCAGGTCATGTTCAAGATCAAGAAAACGAAAAAAAGAAGAAAAAATTTAGATTCTCTTCTCATTATCATTCTCTTCCTTCATCCTGCTTCGTGTAACATTTATGCTCCTTGCTATCAATCAGGTTGCGGGAATTTTGAAAAGTTGTGAAATTTATAGATCTTAGGTTGTGGCAGGTTGACGTCATATTTCTCGGGAACAATTTGGCTTAGCTTGATTGAAATTTACATTTTGGCAAGACTTATCGAACGATATGTAAGAGGCACAATTTCCATCAGGATTAACATGAGTTCCATGTGATGGTAGCATTACGGAATTTCGGCGACAAGTTGGGGGTAATTTCGTTAACAGTGAAAATAGAATAATCGTTCTGGGTAATGCTGATGATCAGAATATGGAGCCAGAATGATGGTATTGGGAATTTTTGTAGAGGGAAGAGCAGCGCTCAAAAAAAAAGACTTATTGCGTTTCCATTCCAGAATGATACACCTTGAAGAAATCGCTGCTTGATTTTCAGAATAAATAAGGAAAGGGAATAAAAGAAGTCTTTTTGGAATAAACAAAAAAATAAGGGGAGTTCAATATACAACGGTGAAAGAATATCTAATACGAAGAAAAAATAGCTGGCGGAAAAACAGGAAGAAATTAAATTAATGAATTGGAATAGATACAGTTATAGGAGAGAACAAATAAGAGAATGAAATTAACCAAACAGACAAGTATCATCTTTAAGAAATCACAATTATCAACTTAGTGATAATTGCTTATATGATTTTGAATACTGTCAGAAATTAGGCTGTCGGAGTAATTACGATGATACAGTGAAATCGCATTTTTGAATTGTGTAAATCGTTTGATTTTTTTTTAATTTACTGTTGTCTAACAAGTAAATTTCTTTTCAGATTACTGTTAGAGCACTGATAAAATGAAAGTTAGCAGTAAAAGTGACGGCTAAAGAACTAGTGGAAACGATGTTATGAAAGTCTCAGATTAGCTAATAAATGTTATGATGGATGTCTGTTACCTATCATTTCGCTAAAGTATTCAATTACCGACTCATTTCTGCTTCCACTAACATTCCCTCATGTCAATTAAATATTTGCGTTCCAAAACTATTCCCATGCATATATATTGAATATGTTGTAAATGAGAAACGCTATCGACAACTTCCACCTTCTTCATACGATAACGTCCACTCATGCAGGTTTCTTTTATTTTTTCGATTTTTCTTTCGAAAAGTTTGCATTATTCTGAAATTATTCCACTCATCTCATTTTTATTGTTTATGATAACCAATAGCGCTTCGTTCATTTGTACCAACAGCGCCGAGATTCTTTGCTTTTCCTCCTCGCCCTATTCCTCTCTCATGCTATTCTATTTGATATCAACGAATTGCAATATTTGGGTATGTTCTGAACGAATTCAAAACTTTCCTGATATATTAATTTCAGTTTCTAAAACTGACGATGTTATGAAAGTCTCAGATTAGCTAATAAATGTTATGATGGATGTCTGTTACCTATCATTTCGCTAAAGCATTCAATTACCGACTCATTTCTGCTTCCAATAACATTCCCTCATGTCAATGAAAATCAGTCAGTTTCTTTCTCGACACTTCGACCCCTTTCCCAAAGAATCACATAGTTTTTACGTCCAAATATAGCCTAGTGAATTTACCCTTCCCCTAATTTTCAATTCAATATTTTCGAGATCTTATGGTAATTTTAGATCTTTTTTCTTCCCTCTAGGTTTATTATCAACGGTAATACGGCTATTATCGTCTTTTGAGTCTTGCCCATAGAAATACCATTTTCATCATTATCATCATCATCAACAACATCCCGGTGCATTATGCAAGCGCCCATTAACGAAAAAGGTACTCACCGAATGTTCAGGTTGTTGCCTAACTTTGATGTTATTTAATGACTCGGTTCTAAAATCTTAAAAAGTATGGGAATTCTTCCAGTGAACTTCACTTTTTTATAAACAAAAAAAGTGCCTTCCACTATTTCATTAATTTCAACTTGGTATCTAAATGGTTTTCTTCATTTTGGATAAATAAATGATGTTTTATCCTTTTGTCAACACCAATTAGTTACCCAGTACTGTCGGGATTTTCATTTGGGTTTATGTTTTATTTATATGCACTATATATTTGATGGAGTCAAATATGTAATCATACATAGTGTGAATTTTCAATTTAATCGCTTATTTGAATTCATCCCGATGATGAAAACATCGAAAGAGTTTTTCAGAAAATAAATTAGAACTCTCATAACTCATCTGTAAATACAGAGCATTAGTTTTTCTATATTGAGGTTCCTTTCAAAGACGTCTGGCAGATGAAAGAAAAACGATCAATAATTCTATGTCCAACCAATTAATAATAATTTCCTTCTTCGGAATACTCTTGCATCTCATATATTCATCAAATTTTTCACTCCAATTCAAACAGTCATTCATTCATTGTTTTTTCATAATAAAACTTCCGTCGATATTGGAAAAGAATTTTTCTGCATGGAAAATGTATGGCTTCTTTCCATTCTTACAACAGAAAAATACGAATAATTGTAGTATCTTGCAGAGATTCATTTTGTCGGAGAAGCTAATTTGTTGATTTCGTTATCAGCGACATAGATTTATTCAGGAAGTAATATTGTTCTTTCACAGTATTACTAGTTAACAACAACAAAAAAAATATACAGTGTACAGTAAATTGATAAGCAGTGATAAATGAGTTATACAAAAGCAAGCAATATGATCAACTAACAAATTCCTTGTTGTTTTGTTAGCAGGTTGTGTAATGGTTGAGATATTATTTTGTCCTTCCTCGAGTTGGGGTATACCGCAATCGAAAGCAAGGAATATTATAGCCTGTTGTCCAATGACGACGAATATATGAAAATGACGTTGTGATCTGCTTGACTGTAAAAATGATTGTGTAGGATTTTTTTCCACATATATATACCAGTGGAGGAGTTTTTGTATGCTTTACTAGGGTTATCATGGAAGTATGACTGCTTCTCGCATGGTTCATTGTGTAGTCACGGATAGGTACTGAAATGTCTTTGTGATATTTCCACTACTTCTTATACCCCCTTCATTGCCTTAATTTACTACCAGGATTTCATCCTGTTTAGCAGATATTATAGAAATTTTATTTGAGCATAACTTTGAATTCGGTAATTTTCATTCATTCTTCTCACGATAGTCATTTTTGATCGAGTGATTCGAGTAGGAATTCAATGTTTACAATCGATGCAGTAAGATACAGCCTTATTATGTGTAATATGGGAAGAAATGTCTCTTATATTAGCAGATTTGATCGTCCTGCTTCATATAAAGGCATACAATGTCGGATATACGCTAAACATAAGTTTGGTATGGATTAAAAGCCTTCATGATATCGCCTTATATCTTCTAGATTAGATTTATAGCTTTATATTTTCTAGTTAAACATTTTATGACAAATATTTTGGATATTTAAGAAAATTTTGGCACTATCAGTTCGGGATGATTTTATTTCATGTTGGCAAGCTGTCGAATAATTTCTCCATTTTGTTTTCCATTCCAAAAATGAATCTAATTTTTTCTTTTCGATTCTTAAAATTTCATTTCTTTTTACTCTTCGCATAAAACCTCGACCGATTAGCAAGATTGAATTTTTTTATTATTTATTATTTTTTACTGTCTAATTATAAGTGAGATAAAAAAAGTGCTCTTTGTTTTCCATGACATTTTTCGGAACTTTCAATACTTGGATTTAAATCATAAAATGATGTTCAGAGCTGGAATCGAATTGTGGTTCTAAATTAAGCAAATCATTCAGATAAAAAAATTTTGAAATTACGTCATAGCATTAACACATTGAAGCGATTTCCGACAATCTCATCGACTGAGTCCAGTCCTACGATCACGAGTATGGTTACAGCATTTTCAACACCTCTTGATAACTGCTATCATCAGTTGAATCTACAATCTGTTGCTGCTTATTGGAAGTTATATTCAGCGAAAAGTATCACTGGAGACAAGGTTCTCGTTTAGAACATAGATAACATAGCTAATGTAGTTTTGGTATAGTATGGTAGCATTACTGATTGATTTTTCAAATTTCAAGAGAAAGCTTCTAGATAGATACTGGCTCAAAATAAACGAAGATTTTTGGATTTCCTTTTAGGATGCGACGATATTTGTTTTTAATCGCAAAGACAATGTCAAAGCACCGCTGAGATTAGGACGTGGTAACCGTCTGACTTTAATTGATCTTATTCGATATGATGTTTCACAGCTTTCTTCACTTGCACATCCACGAATTTTACAAGTTCTTCACGACGTTGAAGAGAACAAGTGAGAAAACAGTAATTGCTAAGTCTTCTCAAAACCTTCAGGAAAATAATTGGTAGTTTCCCGAGGTTTCTTTAAATTTTTTTTGATTTTGATCAGAAATAAAATATCTCTTTAAAGAAACTATGGGATATTTTTGGAGATATTTTTGATACTTCACCTGCAGGTAAATATTTGCGTAAACGGTATCTCAGGTTGTTTGGTTTTAGTCTTATTGTTGATCTGTGATCTCAGCTTAGATTAATTGATGAGAAATAAGATGAAAAGTTCATCCTAAATTATAATTTGTGAATTGTTTACCAGAGAGATGATAACTTTCGCCTCGGAAAATATTCAAGCAAGTCTGGAAGTAATCGTGGTTGAGGATGGACTTGGCAAACTGGAGATGAAACTTGGTATCTTGCAGGTTTGTTTTTTATCACATTATTCATCTGAATTGATCTTTCTGAGTTTAAATTAGTTCTTTTTCTCATAAATCCTTCTTTATTTTCAAAACGTCCGGCCAGGTCTCATTTCTTCAACTGTAATATTGGAT